TGCTGCCATTAATATTGGTAGGTAGAATTTCAAGTGAACACGAGGCCTCTGCTTATCACCCTGGCCAGCTACAGCAAGCTCCACACATGGGGCACCTCTGCAGTAAGGGCTTGGAAGGATACAGCAAGGACAGCTGCTCCCAGCCCTGTGCTGCTGATGCCAGCAGGAACCTGGAGTGCCATTCCTAAAGGACCCCACCTGGAGGACAGGAGTGTTTCCAAGACACAGAAGCTCATTCTTAAGAGTACAGGGTCTTGAGTCAACCAGCTTTGGTCCAAATCTCAGCTCTGAATCTTCTTCAATTTCTCTGTGCATGAGTTTTCTCATCTATAAAATGGGGATAATAATAGTACCTCTCTACTGTAGTTTGGATATAGTTTGTCCCTACCAAATCTCATGTTGAAAGTTCATCCCCAGTGTTGGAGGTGGGGCCTAACAGGAGGTGTCTGGGTCATGGGGCAGATCCCCATGAATAGATTAATGCCCTCCCTGGGCACAGGGTGGTGAGTGATTTCTCACTCTGTTAGTTCCAGCGAGAGATTGTTAAGAAGAGCCCAGAACCTCTCCCCTCTCTCTCTTGCTGCCTCTCTCACCATGTGATCTCTGCACATGCCAGCTCCCCTTCACTCTCCACCATGAGTGGAAGCAGCCTGAGGCCCTCACCACATCCCCAGTCTTGAACTTTTCTAGACATTAGAATTGTGAGCCAAATAAACCTTTTTTCTTCATAAATTACCCAGCCTCAGGTGTTGTTATCACAATACCAAACAGACTAAGATACTCTCTCATAGGGGTGATGGGAGGATTACATAAGATAATATATGTGGGATGCTGAGCACTATGCTGGGGGATGAAATAGACAAGTCCAGCACCTTGAAGGGTCCACTAGTGAGGCTGTGTGCTGAAATCCGGGCACTGCTCTCTGCCGGAGTGCCAGATGCTCACCTATCAAATGGGAGCAGCAGAACTTACCTTAGAGAGCTGATAGAGATGTGGAGGAGACCACATAGTTAAGCACTGAGGCTTAGCAGGTACTTAAGTTATCAGCCATCTCAAACCTGCTGCATCTTAGAATCTCCTAAGGAGCTTTATAGCATTAGAATCTGCTAAGAAGCATATTTTTTTATAATATATATATTATAAAAAATATTTTATATATGTTTTAGTTTTTGTTTTAAATAGGTTTACAGTTACAGAACAGTTGCAAAAATAGTACAGAGAGTTCTTTATCCAACTTCCCCTAATGTTGATATTTTGCATTACTACGGTCTAATTATCAAAAGTAAGAAATTAACATCAGTACAATGTTCAGCTAAACTATAGGCATTATTAAGATTTTACCAGTTTCTCCTCTAATGTCCTTTATCTCCTCCAAGACCTAAACCAGGATACCTTTGCATTTACTTTTCATCTCTCCTTAGGCTCTTTAAATCTGTGACAGTTCCTCAGTCTTTTCCTGTTTTTCATGAACCTGACATTTTTAAAGAGTACCAGTCAGGTGTTTTGTAGAATATCTCTCACTTTGAGTTTATCTAATATTTCCCCATACTTAGGTTGGAGCTATGTATTACTAGAAAGGATACCAGAGAAGTGACAAGCCCTTCTCAGTATCGTCTAACAGGAAGTACATGATGTCAATATGGATTATTCTAGTGATGTTAACCTTGATCACTTGGTGAAGGTGGTGTCAGCTGGGCTGAGTTTGCCCACTGTAAAGTTACTATTTTTCCCATTGCCATTAATAAATAACTTGGAGGCGATGCTTTATGCAAATAACCCATTTCTCTTCATCTTTTCCTCTACTAATGTTCCATTCAGTGGTGTGTTTTGCCTGCAACAATTACTGCAGTGTTCTAAGGGCAGTTTTCTATTCCCTCATTCTTTCTACAGTTCTCGATTGGAATTTTTCTGTAATGAAATGCTGTTTCCTCTTTCTCATTTATTTATTTTTTTAGTTATTTATTGAAATCATCATGGACTCGTGAATATTTGTTTTATTTTATTGGTTTTATAATCCAATATTGCCATTATTTATTTTGATGCTCAAACCTATGGCACTTTAAAAAATATCTGTGCCTGAGACCCTCTCCAGATCATTTGAATCAGAATCTATGGTAGTGGAGCATAGGCAATGGTATTTCTTTAAAGTTGCCCATGTGCACTAAATATTAGTTCCTTCATTCTCCCCACCTGCCTCCTCCTAAAAGAAAAATCCTCCCTCCCATGTTTTTGCAGGACTTGTTCCTGCACTGGCTGTCAGAGTGCTGATGGTGACTGCAGCCACTTAGGGAACTGGCTCTGTGGTCATCTCTATTCCTGCCCCCCCCACAACCCACATCTCTATTCCTGCCCCCCAACTCTGTCAGCTTCCCCTGGCCCACAACAGGAACCTGGGTGCCAGAATCCCTTTTACAACAGCCTCCTCATGTAGAAATTCTGATGTTCATTGTCATTTTCATTTGGGTCAGGTGGAGGACAAAAAAAGCTATGGCAGCCTTTAGAAAGTCAAGTTTAAGCAAAGAGCCCAGGAATTATGACCTTCAGCTAGGAAGGGCTTTCTAAACGAATGGTGGATTGCAGCCGATGGCAGGCTCACGGCTGAGAGAGCTGTTCCCACAGCTCCTGGCTCTGCCTTCCCAAGTCCCACAAAGCACTTTCCTGCTGATAGGACAGAGTTTTAAAGAGCAGAAACAACTCTCACTTACATGAATGACTTATTTGGACACCTCTGAAATCATAATAACCAAATATGTAAATTTAATTCTCCCTTTAGGTCATCAATATGTAGCCAGATATGTTTTCGTTCAAAGACATGGTCTTCCTGAATAAGGAAATTGATCCTATAGCATCCTTTAGCTGGTTTCCAATTACTCTCTATTCCTAGGTGCCAAATCAATCTCATGATATTTTTAGAAACCTAATTGTTCCTTTAGTTGAATTGGTGCCAATAATATGTCCAAACTTAGATGAAGCAGATTTAAAACCTGACTTGTGATGGAATAAAAGCTTAACCCTGAGTATACCATGGCAGTGTGAATTTGACATGGTTCCCCAAATTATGCCATATAAGTCTGGGGAGATTTGTCTCCCAAGTTGCTGTTCCTTTTTGTTTATTTTTTTCTTCATAGTGATCAGTTCCAACTCCAGTTTTTTCTAGCATGCATTTTCTGTATTGAAAACACCTTCTACTAAAATTCTAAGGGATTCCAATTTCTAGGGTAAGTGAATTAATGAAACCCGTAATAACTAGACAGGAAAGGATCCAATGTTTCCTGATAGAGCATAGACATATTTCCAAGACAGGCATTTTGGAGATGCAAAGTGTTAATTCAGCTCAGCATCCAAGCCAGGGTGAGGAACGTTTAGATTCTGCATGACAAAAATAAATCTCTCTTCCTGGAAGAACTTTAACCCAAGAGGAGAAGCAGCTCAAAGGTTTATTGTTGTCAGAGCCACAAACTTGACACCCCTCTTGATAAAACACTTAGATCCCTGACCCCAGTAAAGTTGCTACTCTAAAAGCCATTTGTGTATTGATCTCCTCTGAAAAAAAAAACCGATAGGTGTCTGGCAAGATGAGCATCTTTGGGAAACCAAGTTACTGTGCTTAGAGGACAGTCTGAGTGACCAGAGCGGGGACCTCAGGACACCAGGCCCTGAAATGAGATTTGGAGAAGCTGGCAGCCTGGGCCTCTTCTCAGTCTCTACAAGGCTAGTGGAGGAGTGTAGCTCCAAGTGGGAAAGTGTATCTGCTGGGAAACCTTAACCAATCTTACTCTCCACTCTTCAAAAGACAGAAGAGGTGGGGTGGGCTGGCCTAGCATGGATACCAATCTGAGACCAGGGTGCTTGGGTGGTTAGATATATTGGTTACCCTACAACAAGGACACCCACCACCCCTACGTGTTAATCCTGGGTTCACCACCTGGAAGAAATGAACCAATATTACCTGTTTGAGGCTGAGATGGAGATTCAGAGGCAGAAAAGTGCTGACACTATCAGGCTACCCAGCTAGGACTAAAGATTTAGAATTTTTAGACTAAGACTCAAGACTTTGAGTACCTAGGCCAACTGCAGCAACAAGAGAAAAAGGGTGGCATCTTGTTGGCTGTCTTCCTTTTTCTCCCATAGGATCAAACTGCAATCACCAACTTTTCCATGCTTGGAGGAGAAAAAATGTCTTTGGGTGCTTGCTGTTTAGCTGCTCACTTAATATAAATTTCTTTCAACAACAGAAATTCAAACATCATTTATTGAGCACCTACCAGGCACTGTTCTAGGAATACAACAAAACCCTGCCGACAATAAACAAGTAAACAACAGTCATTTCAGAGGCCAATTAATGCCATATAGAAAAAGAATTCGAGTGATATGGAGTGAAGGGAGCAGCTGTCAGGTAAGGCTTCTCTGAGGAGGACCCAATGGTGAGAGTGAACTCCTGGGGAGAGTGTTCCAGACAGGTGACTTCCCTCAAGTGCAAAGGCCCCGAGGTAGAGGCAAGCTTGGTGGAGCTGACGACCAGAAAGGCCAGTATGGTGGGGCACAGTGGACCAGGACAGATCGTATTGCGTCCTATAGGCCATGCACTCTGTATAACTGAAGCCTCTGGAGGGTTTGGGGGGTTGTAGTGGGGAACAGGAATATGTTTTATTTTGTAAACATCTCTATAGCTTTTTGTGGTAAATAGACTGTAAAAAGAGTGGAAACATTCTACAGCTGTGACTTAGTAGCATGTAGTATCTAAATCCTGGGAACCTGTATGTCCTATAGCACATTTGCCTTCTCTTTGTTTAATAATGATGGTCACTGCATTTATTTCACAACCTCAAAACCTCTCTACTTGCTTATTGCTTAAACATCAGAAAAACCATTTGCTGAAATTCCTTTAACTAGAAAATATGATTTGTGCTTATCAGCTTATTACAGATAACATCTTACCTCAATCAATCATAGAAATTTTTTTTTTGCTTTAATCAGTTATCTCGCTTTTCCTCCTACAGGGATCCCAATCACCCTTCAGTACCTTATCATTATTATGAACCTTTTGGACCTGACGAATGTACAATGTACCTCTCCCATGAGCGAGGACGCAAGGGCAGCCATCACCGATTTATCACGGAGAAACGAGTCTTTAAGAACTGGGCACGGACATTCAATATTCACTTTTTTCAACCAGACTGGAAACCAGAATCACTTGCTATAAGTCACCCTGAGGGTAAACCTGTGTTCTGAGGAATGGGCGTGCTGCACTGTAGTCCCAGGTATCAGTCCCTCTGTATCAGACACCGGGACCTTGAACTTCCCGAGTCACCAGACCGGAGAGGGAACAGAACTGGTAGCAGAAGACAGCGTTGCTCCTTAAGAAGGCCTATGGGCAGATGCCTACCAGGCGTGACTGCAAAGCAGTGCAGTTGGTTTGTAAGAAAAATTCCCAAATTAATACAAGCAAATGAGTGTTGTCCCTTTCAAAGGTGTTACCTTAGGAGCTGAACACTCATTTCAAAAACACTTCAGATCTCTTAGTATTGCCTTCGAAACTGAGACATGAGCAACTCAACAATATTAGTTGCATTCCTTTATAGAAATACCATGTCAAAAGACATTTTTCTATCAAGTTGTATCCTTTCCTGATCTATACCCTTTGTCATCTATTAGACTCTGTATGTGTGATTTGTAAAAAGCAGCCTGAAAGTATAGACAAGATTTCTGAAGAGCACATCTCCACTGACTTTCATAAAGCAAATGTCCAATATTTATTTACTGAGAGTTTTTTAGTGCACTCTAGGCCAGTATTTTTATAGATTATGATTATGTGGTAATTTATCCTTCCTAGCTCTTTAATCCTGAATGATGGTTGGAAATGGCCTAGAATTGGGTTGATGAGTTACTGTGTTCACAATGCTCATTGTTAGCATGCAATTGGTATTTGACTTAGAAATGTTGTGTTGCGTTTTTTGAACCCCTAGGCTTCAGGAAAATTGTTCTTTCATGGAAAGAATAGCTATGGCATTTTCTAATGTGCAGAAATGCTCCAAAAGGACAAGATTGAAAACCAAAAACTGTATTATTAAAACAAAAAGATGCTAACAAGAGAAACTTAAACATAGTTTTCTTTAGTAATAATTTACATAAGTAACGTATTTTAGGCCCTAGTTTCCTCTTCTCTAGAATGATGTCACTGTACTAGATGACCTCTTAAGTTTTATCCCAAATCTAAAATTCTGTGAGCCTCTCATTGACCCATTTGAGGACTTTGCACTTGGAATGATGGGGCTCCAACAGCAGCAGGAACCTTATTTGTGGGGTGGTTATATTCCCACACTACTTATATCCCTCTTGTGGTTAAAAACATACTTCATCCTGCGTCCCCATGGGCTAAAACCTACCCCCTGCTTCTCTGAAAGTACCACTACACACACACACACACACACACACACACACACACACGCATGCACACGTACATACACACACACAAATACTACACACACAGAGACATACTTCTGAGGGATTCCTTGGCCACAAGAGCAAGGAACTACCCTTCTTTGAGGAGAAGAGACTACAAGGAGATTCCCTATCATACAACTCATTTATCTTGTGAACTATTCAGACCCACTCAAATCTCACTACAAATCTTCTTAGATTATAGTCACTACCATTTCCTGGCCTGAAGGAGTATAAAGGACTTATTTTAGTAAGAGTCAAGATCAATTAGTACTATAGATTTTTATTTACACAAGTAATATTGTTCAAAAATTGTCTTTTAAAAAATATACTAGTGTTTTCTTTACGTGTGGCTTAGGAGGCATTAGTTTCTCTGATGCCAAATTTGAAGGCACCAGCAAATATTATCTATGAAGACTGACCTTGTTTTATAGACATGAGCTGGCTTGTGATTAAAGAAGGTTTCTCACATTGCCACTTCTTTTCCCTTGATTGTATGGAGTACTGTTGTTGAAATGGAAACACCGTAGTCCAGGTATCCACATAGCAAATACAAAGTTAGTATTATTGTAGTGTGGCTTGAGTTGTGAAAAGCCAGTTAGATTAAAATGGCCGTCCAGAACATACTGGGATGCATTCTTTACATTTTCTCGTAGTTTTTAAAGGGACTATGAATTTTGTTCCAACACAGTGTCTTCTGCATCATGGACTCTGAACACACAATATTTTATGAACATATAAAAAAGTGTATGAATTTTATACAATTTATTTTATAGGCCACCTTTACAATCACTTGAAGAGATTGTTGCTTACATGCAAATGTCTCCTTTGACAACTTCTGTATTTATGGAAATTTGGGGAGGGGCAGTTGGGACATGTAAGCATGTAGCTGTATTGCCTAATCTAATAATATCTCACATGTCTGTGTGTCTTCAGGTTTTAGGTTGTTCTTTTTTAACAAAAAAGACCACCATGAGCTCTTTTTTTGTAGCTTTTCTCACTCAAATACTCAAAAGAATGAAAGGCAACCAAATCCTGAAAGCCCTGGCTTCACCAGGAAATATTTTAAATCTATGTATAGCTAGGATATGTGAATTCATATTCTTATAGAACTATGGTGTAAATACATGTAAGAAATTATCATTTGGGTAGTGGTTTTATTGTAGCATGAAAGGAAATGCCTAGAATTCTGATAGATTGTGCTGATGGACCTGGTTGCGGGCAATTGAATTCTCGCCTTGCCACTATCATTTCATGACTGTCAGTCTTAACGCCACTCAATACCATTAAACATAAACTCTGCTGTAAAAGATGACTACAAAACCATGTTGACAGACCTCAGTGATTTCAATACCTGATTGTGTTTGAAGCCTAAGTCACACCCGTTTACATGACATACCTTTTCCTCCTCTCCCAGCTGTGTCATCAGCTTCCTCCCAGCTTTTAAGACCACAGTAATACAATGCCACAGCTGGCAGATCCACGGCTTCTGTTATTTCAACGCAAGAACATTTGGCAGAGGCCATTACAATAGATAGCCATTATGGGCAAAGATACAGGAATTCACAAACAAAATCAATCACTTCAAATGGCCCATAAAAAGAGGAATCTCACATTTAATATTCCACAGTAAATATCCACCCAAGAAAGCGTACATTAAAAGAACATTAGGAGGTAAATATTCAGTGTGCTGTGTGGGGACTTAGCTTTGTGATTTCCATTACCGTTAATGGGTGTTTGGCAACTAAGTCCCTGTGCTTCGCTAACCCTGGTATGTACTCCTAAGGGCTAGACATAAAATCAAAGCAATTCGGGAACTTCTAAGGTCATAATCTCCTCTTCAAAAAAAATAAATAAATAAATGAAAGCAAAACACAAAGTACTGTACCTAAAGTGAAATTTGTGCATGGTCTCTAAGAATCCTTAGGTTACTACCAAGTTTGTGTATCAGATTCCAAACAATACCTCTCCACACAGATTACCTTTGTTTCCTGAAGTTCTCTCTACATTTCTGATCTATTTGAATTACATTAGAATTTGAATAATGACTCCCTTCAAAAATTAAAATCATTAATTTAGAAGTTAAATGAATGCCAGGTAAAAGTGGAAGGAAGAAGATGAAATTCTGTTAGAACTAAGACAGTGCTATTTAAATGCATATGTACCTATTTAGTCCCTGCCTAAATGTTTGCCCTTGTGTAAGAGTGACCTGATTTCAGAAATATACCCTGGATTCCACCAGAGTGGTGCTTCAAACTGTTAAATAGACCTACCCCGAGAGAGCGATCCATGTTGCTATTCTCTCTGCCATGTTAGGTGGTGATGTTAATATTCTCTGGGTTTCATACCTGACCCAATCATTTCTTCCATTCTCATTGCTTCTCTCTCATTCTGTCACTTGCTCCCATCTTCTTCTGATTGTCTTCTTTTGTCTGCAGTGTGCTCCTAAATCAGCAATCTTTGGAGCTGTTAAGGTCTTCCTTATAGGATTTTTAACTAGAGACCTGACTGGGGAACAGCTTTGGAGTAGCTCTTGCCAGAGTAATGACCATGGTAGGTGGGAGGAGTACTTCTGGCTACAGGACAAGGTACTCCAGAAGTACCATCCTGATTTGCACTGGGCCAGGGAGGAGGGGAGAGGGAGGACCTCCAAGAGGCAGACTTTCGGTGTTAATACTAGGGCAATCCCAGGCACCAGGACAGAGGGTCACCCTATCAGAAGGCCACCTCAAAGAGAACTGAGGGCGGGGTGTGTGAATCAATCATCACCTAGGTTTTAGCACATGCCAGAAGGTACTTTGGAATGGAAAGAGGTAAGAGAGTGTCACAAGGCTTAAAAATGAACAGAAGTAATCCCTCTATTCTAGCTAACTCATCCCCACCTACTCAGGGTATTGAAATACAAATGCAAAAAAGGCTGAAATCCTGTTTCTTTCTATTCAGTGCCCTAATATTATATGCTACCTTGGATTGTCCTTTGTCTTTTTATGTATGTGTCCTGTTAGTCTAATTAGATTGTAAGCTCCTTGAGGGCAGGGACTGTTTCCCCTGTGTCTCTGTAGCCTCATGCCTAGTATAGTGCCTTGCACACAATAGGCGCTCAATAAATGTCTGTTGTTGATGATGACCTCTTAATTTCGACCCATTGGATTGGTAATTGGGCATAAATACATTCTTCTATTTTAAAAGTACAAGAAATGCAATAGGTTATGATACAGTTACATTTTAAGTGGAGTTTTATAGGATTAGTTCTTAAACTGATAACGTTTTTAATCAACAGAGCTGACCTAGATTTGGGTAGGATAATGTTGCTGAATTCATTAGGTTTGCTAATGCTGGCTGTACTGAGCACACAGGTGAAGTAAAGTTCAGCAAGCTTTGTGTTTTCGCTGTTAGCGAACTGCTCTTAGCACAAATTAAATTTAATATTGACAAATGCTACACCATCTGCAGAAAGGCGGAAGAACAGCTTGGGCTCTGACTTCTGTGGTTCGACTACAAAAGGAAGGCTAAAATGAGACCAGCGATAACCTGCTTTAAACTTGACATCTTCTAAAGCTGCTGGGAATCCAACTGGTGGTTATTGAGGGTCTACAAAAATTAAGTATACTTTTATCTTAAAAACAAAATGAAACAGAAAACCACTTTTGTTTCCATGAAGCAGATCCAAAATGGTTTCATCCCTACCAGAAGGTGAGGGAAAAGGAGAAATCCTGGGAAAAGGTGTCCTCAGGAAGAGTATCCAGGCTCCTGAATCGCCACCTGGCCAGCACCTGGCATTCGGTTTACCACCAGCTGCAGGAGAGGGCCACAGGCAATCAGTAAAGGTGAGTGAGCTGCCCGTGGGGACCTCTACAAGGGACCACATCATTACCTTCTTGAGCATGTGGACACTCCAGAATTTCCCTTTCATTGTCTACACACTTCATTGTGTTCCACATACTTAACTGTGCAACCTCAATTTCATTTTTTAAAGCATAGGAAAAGGGCTAGAAAACATTACATTAAACTGAGAAGAGTGCTTATTTCTGAATGGATAGGATTATAGATTTTCCCACATTTTCAAAATTTTATTACAATCACAAAATGTTATTTCATAAAATTTTAAGACTGTCTCTGCCCACTACATAAATCATCTCAGTGTTGGCATCTTTAGTTCTTTACCATGTGACTAGTTCTTTAATTTCAAAACCAAATAAAGGAAATCCATGGGGTTAGATCAAAATCTTTACAATTATGTTGTATCTACTGCGCTTCGCACAATATTATCTGTAACATGTATTATTTTGCCATAATTCCATTATCCCATTTTGCAAATAAACAAACTGAGACTAAGAGAGATTGTTTATCTGGCCCCTGGGGTGATGAAGATGAGAGCAGACACAAAGCAGGGAATGTACCAAGCACTCTTCCAGGTGCTTTGCATATATAAATGCATTTAATCCTGACAATAACCCCATGAAATGGGTTCTTTTATCACTCCCCTTTTACAGATGCAAAAACTGAGGCACAGACATTTCAGTAACTTACCCAAAGTCATGCCACTATTAAGAGGGAAAGACAGATTAGAAGCCAGAGGATCTGTCTCTGGAGTCTCTGACCTTAGTCACCATGTACTTCTTGGTAGAACTATAAGATAACAATTTCTATTAGAAGATTTATCATGTAATATTTGATACATATCAAATAATATGTGATAAATATGTAAATTATGAAGCAAAAATAAGAATATTACTACTACCCTTGAAGCTACCTGAATGTTTCTTCTATTGTCCTGGATTTTCTATTTACTATTCTCTTGCTTTCTAAATAATTTTATTACATATAGATATATTTAAAAATACTATCTCATTTAGTTTTGCATATTTATAAATAAGACTGTTATAACATTGTATCTGAAGTCCTCTGAAACTTGCTCTTTTTCCAAGATTTATCCATTTCCTTTGCATGTAACTCCAGATTATTTTCACTATTGTGTAATGCCATTGCGTGAATATACCACAATTTATTTTTATCCATTCTTCTGACAGTGAACATGTGGGTTTTCTGCTTGTTACTAATACATACAGTGCTTTTATGAACACTCTTAGAAAGCTTTTCTAGTACATGTATGCCAGGATTTTTTAGAGTACATACCTAGGAATAAAATTTCTGGGTTATAGAGTAAAATTGTTCACATGTTCATGATATTGCCAAATTGTTTTCCATAGTGGTTAGACATCTTATCCTCCTAACAGTAGTTGTCCACATCATTGCCAACACTTGGTATTTCCAGACTGTAAATTTTTGCCCAGCTGGTAGATATAAATTATATCTATTGTGATCTCAACTTGTATTTCCCTGATTCCTGGTAAGATTTAGAATTTTTTTCCTATGTTTATTCTCCATTAGTGTTACTATATCTGTAAAATAGCTATTCATTTTTGTCCACTTTTCTCCTGGATTACTTCATTTTTACATTTTTCTTTTAAAGACTTCTTAGTATATTCTTGATACTATATTTTGTTGATTATATGTGTTATAAATACCTCCTTCCAATTTGTGTCTGGTCTTGTCTTTTTTACTACGTTGCCTTTCGATGAACAGAACTTTTTAAATTTCAGGTAGTCATGTTTTCTATCTTATTGATTAGAGCTTCTTATTTCTTGTTTAATAAATCTAATAAATCACCCACTGTTTCTGATCATTAAAATATTTTCCTATATTCTATTTTAAAAGATTTCAAAGTCTTTGTCTTCCACATGGCAGCCAGGGATTTTTTTTATAATGTGAGAACTCACTTTTTGTTTTTATATAGATACCAACTGTCCTAGCATCATTACTGAAGTATTTGGTTTTCCCTAGTATCTGCATCAAATTTTCATATAGGTGGAGATTTATTTCTGTTCTCTGCATTCTGTTCAATTCTAATCAAATTGTCTATCTCTGTACTAATACTAATCACACAATCTTAATTACTATAACTTTATAATAAGTTTTAATATCTATTAGGGCAATTTTCCCTTCCCCTTATTCTTCCTGATGAATGCTTCTTCTTCTTTTTTTTTTTTTTTTGTCGCTAATTTTTACTGAGGTATCATTTTCATTCAGTAAGTACACAAATCTTATATATATAGATTGATGACATTTTAAATATCTGTACACCTATGTAACCACTACCAAGATCAAAATGTGCTGTACTTCCAGCACCCTAGAAGGCTCACACATGCTCCATTCCAGTCGATCTTCCTGTCAATGGTAACCACCATTCTGACCTCCATCAATTTAGATCTCTTCTGCCTGTTTTTAAATTTCATACAAATGAATTGTATGGTATGTACTTTTTTTTCTATATAGCTTCTTTCAGCCAAAATTATGTTTGTAAGATTTATCACTGTTGATGCATATAGTAATGTAGCAATCGTTCTTTTTCTGTTGCTGTTTAGCATCATATAGCATTAGAATTACTAATTCTAATATTGATGGTCTTTGGGGTAGTTTCCAATTTAGGGCTACTATGAATACAGCTATTATGAACATTCTTATACATGTTTTTTGGTGGACTTAGTCCACTCAGACTACCATAGACTGGATGCCTTATAAACAACAAAAATCTCTTTCTCACAGTTCTTAAGGCAAGGAGGTCCAAGATCAGGGTACCAGCATGGTCCTGTTCTGCTAAGAGCACTTTTCCACATTGCAGACTGCCATCTTCACATTTTATGCTCACATTGCGGAAAGATGGCAAGAGGGCTCTTTGAGGTGTCTTCTTAGAAGGGCACTAATCCCATTCACAAGGGCTCTCCGCTCATGACCTAATTCCTAAAGTCCCTACCTCCTAATACAATCACCTTGGGGAATAGGCTTCCACATATGAGTTTGGGGGGACACACACATTCAGTCCATAACAGTGGATATAGTGCTAATTTCTATTGGATAAATGGCCAGGAGTAGAATTACTGAGTCATTGGCACACCTGTGCTTGGCTTTAGTAGATATTGCCAAACAGTTTTCTAAGATAGGTGCACCAGTTTACACTCCTACCAGCAATGACTGAGAACACCAATTACTTCACATAATTGTCAACACGTGGTATTGTCCTTATAAATTTAACCCTTTGGTTGGCCATATAATGGTATCTCCTTATGGTTTCAGATTTATATTTCTTTGGTGAATAATGAGGTTGAGCATCTTTTCATATGCTTATTACCCATATGTATATCTTATTTTATCTGTTCAAAGCTTTTGCCCATTCTTTTAATTGGGTTGTCATTTTTTTTTCTTATTTATAGGAATTCTGTATACAGTCTTGATTCAAAGGGCTTAGTTGGATATATGTGTTGCAGTGTGTAGCTTGACTTTTCACCGAGATAATGGTACATTTTGGTGACTAAAAGTTATAAATTTTAATAAAGTGCAATTTACCAGTATTTTGTGTATAATATAATTTGTGTCTTATTTAAAAACTTTTTACTTAGCTCAAAGTCATAAAAGTAACCTCTTTATGTTTTCTTCTAGAAAGGTCATTTTTTTTCTTATTTTCATATTTTAATTTATGATCCATTTCATATTGATCTTGAAGGATGATGTGAGGTGGGGGTCAAGGTTCCTTTGTTTTCCCTTAAGGTAATAGAACTGATTCCGCACCATTTATTGTAATTACCACCCTTTCTCTATTGAATTAGAATGGTACTTTGGTGATAAATCAGGTTACCATATATGTACTGGATTATTTCTTGACTCTCAATTCTGTCCCATTTTTTCATCCTTACCCTATTACCACATTATCTTAATTACTATAACTTCATAGGTCTTGATATTTAGAAGTAGAAGGTATCCATCTTATTTATCTTCTCCAATATTACTTTGGCTATTCTCAGTACTTTATATTTCCACATACAATTTTAGAATCAGGATATAATTTTCCATATTTAATAAAACCTGCTGAGATTTATATTGAGATTACATTGATTCTATGGATCAGTTTGGGGAGAACTGACATTTTATTGATATCAGGTCTTTCAATTCATGAGTACAAATTGAAAGTTTTTCATACAGAGGTCTTCCACATCTTTTCTCATATCTATTCCTAGGTATTTGAATTTGGTGTTATTATAAATGACACTTTTTCAATTTAATTTTCAATCT